TGGCCATTTTAAATAGCCTTTCTTTTCTCCCTTAACTTAACCTTGGCATCTCCTACATTCCCTCTCTCCTCAAAATATCGTTTCTTGCATTCTCAAGAAGCCACCTCAGTAGTGCCTCTTTCCATTTCCCACCCTTTGTAGTCCTAACTGATGTACGTGTATTCTTATCAAAAATAAAAGGCTTCAATGTGCACTAGAGAAGGAAAGATTTGGTATGCTTCAAGATCCGAATCGACATCTATTAATGGATTGTTTCTTTTTTCGTTCTTGCACCAATGTGGCACTTAACTCCCATGCTCCCATTGACCTCCCTCTACATCAAGATATCTCTTTGAAAGTTAGTGTAAGTACTTGTGTACATCACCATCACAGAGATTGTGATGAGAACTGTGATAACATAAAGGCAACCACAATAGAACCTGCAATGAACACTACATCCATCGCCGAAAACATCACAAATCGCTATCACAAAACCGTACAACCCTCTAAAATTGCACAAGATCTGTGATGACAATTGCGATGTCACCAATAAGGGAGAGCCACGGTTATCAATAGTGTTTGGAATAGCCTGATAACAGAGTATGCCACTCGGGTAACAGTCATGGCAATATATTCACAATTGGTTGTGTAATCACCAAAAGAGCCCCATCAGTGCCACGTGATTACAAGTAAGCTAAAAAGGTTGTAGCTATAAGCGTGTCCACACAAGAGTCTTAGGGATAGGAAATTTTGATCCCGAGTGATTCCCATGGATACATGGCAAAACCCTAAGGAGCTTACCCATTATATATTCAACAAATTAGAACCACCTTTCTGAAACAGTAAAGTTCCTTTATGTCATTTTCCAATCTCTCTTTATAGCCTCACCCATTCATCTATAAAAGAAAGAGGCCTAAAGCCCTCCACATGAGATCATCCTGAGAGCACTGAGAGAGGTTTTTCTCCTAAGCCTTCTGCCTCTTTATTGCCCTTACCAACACCCTTCCTTCCCTCACACCTGTGGGGAAATGGGGTCAATGTAACTTTGGAGGAGAAGCTCTGAGGCGCGTCTGAAGATACTGTCTTTAAAACGTTATTTTCCCCCACTCAGTTTCACTGAATTTGCTGTTAGGTTACAGGAAAATCCGTTCCCAGGATACAACAGAGCCTTAGGCGAGAATCTACAACCAGCAAAGTTGAAGAATCTCCGAAGAAACCTTCTGTGAGACTGTAGCAGACCGAACTGAGAGAGAGAGAGAAAGTCGATTTCGAAAATGTGTGTTTTTGAAGTCTGATTCATGCTCCTTAAATAGTTTATGAAGAGGTATGAAGAAAAGGTAGGTGCTGGTTCAGAGAAGGCACCTT